GAGAGGAAGGGAGAGAGATAGAGAGTTAGAAACATCGATGAGAGAGAAACATCGATCAGCTGCCTCCTGCACATCTCCCACTGGGGATGTGCCCGCAACCCAGGCACATGCCCTTGACCGGAATTGAACCTGGGACCTTTCAGTCCGCAGGCCGACGCTCTATCCACTGAGCCAAACCGGTTTTGGCTGGTTTCAATTTTTAAGTGTTAAAAATAATAGTTACTATTATGATACATAATCTTTTGGTATAGCAATAGCACCCTCACTTAATATAATAACATCACCATATAATTCATATGTCTTGCTTGTCTAGTGATAAGGCATAAATAGACGTGGTTGACTTTAAAGGTCTTTTCTGATTACAAAATAACTTTTGCTAAGTTTGTTTTTACTTGCTTTGAAATAGATAGTTCTCTGAATATAGTAATATTCCCAGTCAGAGAAGAAAAGTTCATCTGATAACTCCTCCAGAATTATTTCAGATATCTTCCCCTAACTTTGGTATTCACTTTGTTATTTTTTTAAACTTTTAAATTTAAAAGGTGCATGGATTCAGAATTCTCTAGGAACATTACAGAGACATGTTCAAATACATACCTATAAAGGTAAATATAAGATATTGGATTATTTGTATTATATTGTACTGTCAGGTCATAAACTTCTTTATTTAAAGAATACATCATCTTGCTTTCACATTCTCCTTGTATAATTACTAAGCTCAGTTTTGGTTTTTTTCATCTGTAACAATTACAGTAATGGCCATTTCTTTGATTCAATCAACTAATGTCTGTTGAGCCATGTGCCATCTCTTCACGCTGATACTGTTTCTTGGTATCCGTAAGAGCATTTCCTTAAAGCTCAGACTTGAGTCTTCTGTTTTTCTCATTTTATTCCTTCCTTCTACATATTCAGTAATAATGAGATTATCCATAATTTGTCTCAAGCAAATCTGACCTTATTTGTAAATGTCACATAGTATACTTTCCTGTCTATATCTTTTG